CTCTGCAGTAAGGATGAGGAGGAGAGAAGAGTGGCAGTCAAAAAGATCTTGGATATGAGACTTATAAGAGGATCTGGGCATGACGAATCAGTTGGTGACAATTCCTTCAGGGTCAGGAAGACTCCTGAAGTCAATCTAGGTGCCAAGACCCTCACTGATCTCATAGATCTGGATAACATCCAGGCTGGCAGTGAGCCCCGTCTTACCTGCAGCCTCACCAATGTTCAAGTCAGAGCTTTCCTGGACAACCCCATGCATGTCCCTACCTGGCCCTCGCACACCCAGAGTATAGAGCGTTGTGTACAGCAAGTGAGCGAGGCCAGCAGTCACGTGTACAGCCAGGAGAGGAGGGAAGGCTACATCCGAGCTCAGGTGGTCAGCAGGGAGGTGATGAGTAGAAACAGAAGCAAGAAAGACATGTTCTCTATGGTATGCAGCAACACCGGGTCGTAGTAGTAAAACCGGTTTTTGTATTTGATGATTTTGTTTTCTAAAGGAATATTAAATTTAATAAATGTGTCAAGATCATTCGTTTCACTATTCTGGATCATTTTCATCCTAATAAATTAACCTGATACATTTACTTTACTTTAAATAAGCTATTTAGTGGTGTTGGTAAAAGGGTGGGAATACTGAATTTTCATAAGATTTCAAGTTAAAATTTACCAAGCAAAAAATGAAAACTTTTCAAATCTGAAGATATCACATGATTCTGCACATAGAACTACATCATTAATACCATGGGCCGATTTTTCAAACTCAAAAAAAAAAAAATTCGCCTCCGTATGACACACCCTACTACGCACGTGAACTGTACATCACAGTGGCACGAAAGATGGGAACTACAGAGCCCAAACCCTTTAATACTTCCTCTGGGTGGTTACAGAGGTTTAAGATCCGGAACAAGATCACCAATATAAACATTGGTGGTGAAGAAGCGAGTGCTGACCGTGCTGCGGCTAGGGAATTTCCTCCGTTTTTACGTGAGATTATGGAGGAAGGACAGTACAGTGACGACCAGGTGTTTAACATGGACGAATCTGGTCTTTTCTGGAAAAAGCTACCTTCCAAGTCCTTCGTTGTAAAGAATGCCAGCAAGATTCGGGGCCGGAAGATGCAGAAGGAACGCATCACCGTCCTGTTTACCACCAATGCCTCCGGTACCTGTAAGCTCAAGTTATCGGTGATCCACACAGCACGCAAGCCGCACGCCTACAAAACCATGGACATGACCAAGCTAAATGTCCACTGGCTGACCGCACGTAAGGCGTGGATGTTCTCTACACTGTCCCTCTCCTGGTTTGATGACTGTTTTGTTCCCGATGTAAGGAAATTCTGTGAGCGACAGAATGTGCCATTCAAGATTTTGTTGCTGCTGGACAACGCACCAGGACACTCGCCCCTACTGTTAGATCGTCACCCCACCGTAAAAGTGGTCGTCCTTCCTCCCAACACTACGTCTATATTACAGCCCATGGACCAAGAGTTAATCTGTAATGTAAAAGCTGCATTCTCTACGAAAAAATTCAAACTCCTGAACGACTACACCAACACCAGGGAAGAGTTGCGTAACCTGAGTGACACCACCACCGATAGCAAGAGCGAAGAAGATGAGGATCAACAGTTGGCACAGCAAAAAATACTGTTCAAACAATTCTGGAGAGTATTTAACATCAAGAAAGCTGTGGACTTCTTGGTGGAGTCATGAGATCAGCTGTCTATTGCTACAATTCGTCACGCATGGAGACATGTGTTACATGGAATACCAGGTGAGAGGAGGAGTCAATCTGTGACTGGTGAGGTTCAGACTGTTGCAGTAGCAGTGGACCTTGCCAGAGAAGCTGCGAAGACTGTTACAGTTCCAGACTTCTCTGAGACCACCAACGGCGACATCCTGGAGGTGATCAGAGATCCTGAAGTGACTGCCGACGAGATGTTGGAAGAAGATCACATCAGTGAAGAGGAGGAAGAAGGTGCGTCATTCTCCGAAGAACACAGTTTAACTCATAGTGATATTAAGGGTGCCATGGAGTGTGCAGAGAAAATGAAGTCCTTCCTTTCCCGCGACAATGACGATGACCGCTAGGAAGTCTTCCATACCCGGCTGGTGCAGGCTATGGAGCCATACATCACGGTGTATCAAGACAACATAAACACCAGCCGTCAAAAAAGCATAACCGAGTTCTTCGCCCGCAACCCACCACAGCCAGCCCAAGCCAGTGAAGATGACTTTGAGGGATTTGTCAGGGAAGCCCTGACAACTGTAAGTGACAGTGATGGTGATTCACCTGAGGGCCAGTAAACTGCCCTCTGCCTCGGAACCAGCCTCCATCCCCGTATGCCGACCCATCTCTTCTACTAACGTAAGTGTTCCACATAACTTTTAGTTTTCCTAACCTAACCTTTGTTTTTCCTAACCTAACCTCTTCTATATTACTTGTTTTTTCATACCATCATAAAGTTAAGATAAAATTTTTACTACAACATAGTTGTGTGTCGTCAAAAAGTGGAGTTTGGGGGTCGGCCCGGACTCTATTTCAATTAATCCCATATGTTATGTTATTCACTTTACGCGTTCCTCACTTTACGCGGGACCCTGCGGGTTACATTAACCGCGTAAAGTGAGGGTTAACTGTATACAGTACAGTATAATATAGTACAGTATAGTATAATATAGTGCAGTACAGTAAAGTACAGTACAGTATAATATAGTACAGGGGCTGGATACTCAAAAACATTTATGGGACTGTATGTCATTGTGTACCCCGTAACTGGATTTACAGTCTCAGATTGGCATACTCAAAACACAGATGGTATACTCAAAACAAATATTTGACATCGAACTCCGTAAGTTTAAGCGCGTAACTTACACCAGCTCCTGAGGTTGTGTAACACTCTCAACCCGTATGTAGTAGTGACTAATTCCCTATTGTATAAAAAATAATAATATATGTTGTAATAATGCTGGTTAGACTGGTTTTATCATAGAATAATGAAGAAAATGTTTTGTACACCAACATACTGAAATATAATATTTCACTTTGTCTTTTTGGTAACTTTTTTGTTGCCATAATAAGCGGCTTGAGTGTTTGTATTTGTCTCAGTCTGGAAGAGACGCATCTTTTGTCTTCTTACAAATTATAAAGTATTTTTTACCAAAACAAAAGGTTTGCATTGTTCACACTAAGGGTAAAAATATGTTTTATGACCGAGTAAACTTGCAGTTTGAACTTATTAATGTTGTATAGCCGTAAATATCCCTCAGTAATGAAAGCCAAATATGAGGTCAAGTGAACATTCCTGCCAAGACTTCGCCTTGTTTTTCTAATATTCAACCAATAGTCTTAGCCTATTTTCTTATGTATATGGCTTATGATAACATGAAAGGCTATAAATTTCCATAGGCTAGCCAAATTTAAATGATATTTGGCATAAAATATGGATTGCAATTAACTTTATTAATAGGGGCCTATATAACTGCTTTTTGTCTTAAGCAAATAAATGTTTAAACGTGGGGCCTACTTAATTTAGTTGGAACATGAGGATTATTTAAATAAGAAATTATACCAATAGGTTATAGGTTAGGTTTGGTTTGGTTATGTTATGGTATGTTAGGTTAGCTTAGAGAATGTGTACATGGTTTTTTGGCGAGTGTCAGGCCGTCAGTGAGACACTTTGTCTAGCAGCTACCTTAGGCCTAGTTCCAGACTTTCCTTGAACATTATCATAGGTTGAGTATTAATTTAAGAAAATTTACGGCTAATCCGATATATTTTCAGGTTTTAAATTGTTGTTTTTTGTATGAACTTGAAGACAATTCAGACCAAATGTCCCCAACATTGAAAGGAAAACACCAGGGTCTAGGCTAAATGAGTAATTTAAGAGAAGTGATTTGTCATTTAGGTTCGGCAAGGCTATGCTATCAATAACCAATTTATTTGAATTTGCCCAGAAAAGCGTGCACTTCAGCCTCACTGAAATTAGGCCGTCTCTTCTTGGCTGGTGGTCCTTCCATGTTTACAAAATAATATTATGTGCGTCGCTCTCAGCTGATTTCTCCTTCTCTTGTGATTGGTTGATGATTTTGTTAACTGAGCGCTTATTGGCCAACTAGCTCCTGCACTGACATCTACTTTCCGACAAGAGAACTTAATTTACAAGGTAAACACTAGTTATGAAAACTTACGAAAGGCTTACGGAACTGTAATCAAATTTTGAGTATGTTAAATTTACGGTACTGTAAAGATTCAACAATATATGGTACTGTATCATGCTAAAAGACGTAACTTATGAGGTGTTTTGAGTATCCGACCCCAGTACAATATAATACAGTACAGTACAGTATAATAAAGTACAGTATAGTACAGTACAGGATACAGTATAATATAGTACAGTACAGTATTGTCTAATATGCTGCTTACTGTACTCGCTATTTATGCCAGGGAGTGCAGTGTTAAAAGTGTTTGTAATAACAATTCCAATAGCATTTCAAATAGCATTTCAATTGGTTGTCTTGTTTTCTGTCCACACACTGTCGAGATACCAACTATCCTTGAGTAGTGGGCAGGTTAACCTTCCCCAGGGTAGAGTATGATAAAAAAAATAAAAGTTAAATCACTATAATAATTATTCCCAAACATTGAAGTACGGATTCTTAGTTTTAAGTAGTTATGTACTATGTATTATGGTTCATGTGTAGGGGTCCCCTCGTTTTCCTAGAGGCACTGGGTTTGGTCTTGGGTATACATTTATCAATCAAAGGGTCACTTTACTAGTTATATTTAGTGTAGCGTCTGCCTTCACGTGCCTCGGTGAGTCGGGCCAGTGGATACCGCCCATCTCCTCCCTTATCCCGTTGTAATATTTGCACCTTGGCCTGGCTTTATCTTGAACTGAGTAACAGTTAAATCTGAATGTAGTGTTGTCATTCAGCTTTCAAAAGGTGTAGCTATCTGTTGACACACACACACACACTAAAAGAAGGATACACAAAATGTTAATTAAACAAATAAATGTTTAATACTTGAAAAGTTATATCCATTGACAACTTAATTTGATTTAAAAGTGTGCTTTCTGGTAAATACAATAACAATTAATGCAACGTTACTTTCAAAGATTCTCAACGACAAGGAATTTACAAATAAAACTCCTCACTGTATTAAAATAAATTAAACCCAGCATTTACAAACACTGAACAGTTAGGAATACAGTATACCTTAAGACATATTTAATGAAACAAATATTAATAAACTAAAAGGACAGTATTTTTCATGTATAAACCATATCACCTAACTTGTGAGGGATACTTGTTCCATGGTAAAACTCTTCAAACAGCATCACTGTTGGAAGGAGTTTTATTATTATAAGATATTCTACTTTTTCTTATAAACTAATAATCTTCGACATATCTGAAGGGCTCTGGTGGGTCTGGCTCGGTCTCTTCCTCAGTTTTGGGACCCAAGGCAGGCACGGGCTGGACCAGTTCCTCACTGTCTTCAGGCTTGGTGTCTCTCATCAGGATAATGCCTCCTATGCTTAGTTCTTTCACCGGGGTGTAGCGGGACCCCTCGGCCATGCGCGCCACCTTCAGCTGGGCCTTCATCACTCGGGCAGGGTTACTCAACAGATCAAAAGCCGGTTCTTCCTTTTTCTTTTCCTCTTCCTTCTTCTTCTCCTCTTTCTCTTTTTCCTTCTCCTTCTCTTCCTTTTCCTTCTTCTCCTTTTCTTCGTCAACCTCCATCTTCTCGTCCTTTTGCTCCTTTTTCTTTCTCTCGTCGTCTTTCTTCTTTGCCTTTGCCGTTATTGAGAGGACTGCAGTTACCTTTTCTGCCACTTCCTTCTTCTTCTCCTCCAGCGGTGCCGGGTAGCCGTAGGTGGAGGGTTTGGCGTTAGAGTGGAACTGCATCTTTGGCATTTTGAGCTCAGAGTTGAGACCAATAAGACAAGTTGGTGTAAAGGCCATGGACAAGAAGTGGGCCAGCGGGAACCAGTACCAGAACTGAGTGAACACGAACATGCCCACCACTGACGTCATGCTCGTGTGTCCCGTTCGAGATTGCAAAGAGATGGTCATGTTGCGTCCACCGGCGTCAATAATACCCTGGGCGAGGATGGCTCCAAACTTTGCGATTGAATCTTCGTGTTTGTCCCCGATCACCTTGGCATACAGCTGACGGAAGTCTTTAACTTTGGAACAGGTCGACTCCGTCTGTTGTATGAGCACGAGAGCGGAGGCTATGAGAGCTCCCTGACGAACAAAGTTGACGGGGTCGTTAGTGAGCGGTTCCAACAACCCCAGAGCCTCCTTCTGTCCTGTGCCTGAACAAGCAACACCCAGAGCCATGGCAGCACCATAACGAACGTGAGGGTTGTACGACTCAGACAGGAGGGACACCATACTTGGCATCTGCTCTGGTGACCTGAACAACAAGAATCCCAGAGCCTCCACGGCTGCCCGCCTCACATCATTATCCACGTCAGACACGGCCACGTGCAGCAGCCTCTTCATGGCCGGCGTAGAGGCGGTGCCACAATAGGCCATGGCCACGGTGTACATGGCAGCACGTCGTAAGATAGCGTCCTTGTCTTCGCTGAGTTCGGTTATGAGACGGTCCGCCTGGTCCTGTTGACCGTACATGTTGAGAGCAATGCCCTGAGCCAAACCTCGCAGAATTTTCTCGTGCTGTGTGTCCCGGGCGTAATTCACCATATCAGACACCGCTTGTTCGTTGGCAGACCCCAACATTACTAACCCCATGGCCAGTCCTGCCGCCTCTCCCGTCACAGCATCATCTTGGAAGAGGGAATATTTCAACTGTTCGTATACGTCAGTGCGCTGCGTACCCATGGCTGCCAGGCCCAGGCCGAGGCACCCGCCGTGACGCACGATCTGTAACAAAAACTCTCGCATTAATATCAAGACTTGTACGAGTCGTGATTCCGAGCCCTTACCAAAGTGATGATTATACAAGTTGGTGCATATAAAATATTGTACCATAACTTTTTCTGGTGAGAATAAAAAGTTACAAGGCTGAGTGTGTAAGATTAAACCAGTAATATTGTCAGCAGCACATGGATGATTAGAGTTGTAAAAAGTACAGTGGTCGCTCGATTAATGAACACAATTCGTTCCAGAAGGTCGTTCGTTAACCGAAACCATTGTTTCAATGGGATATTGGGTAATTGGTTCCAGCTCACAGAAAAGTATATACAAAGTAAAGCCAAAAATGCATAAAGTCAGAAACACTCCTAAAATTCCCCTAAATCGCCCTTACATCACTATATACTGTATATCGTACATATACACTAGAACTCTTAAATCACTACAGTGATCCCTCGGTTAACGAGCGCCTTGGTTAACGATTTACCTTCCATAAGATTCTTAACTTCGGTTAACGAGCAATCCCTCGATTAACGAGTTTTTTACAAGCCGACCTCAACATGTTTTCACTTGCATTTGGCAGTCCACCAGCTGTAGTATTAATCCGCCAATACAGGAATCGGTTTTAGGGCTTAAATTCCTTACTATTTTAGTAAATATCAAGAAGTTTATACTATTCAATAATTTTAAAAGTTTAATATTAAAATTTTTTAGTAATTTTAACAATTATTGAACATAATTGAAGGTAAAGAAACTAGTTTCTGGTGCGCCATCCAGCCTGTTAACACACAAACAGGCGTTAGTCTCTCTCTCTTTTCAGTGGAGGTAACATATTGCTTAAGACTCTCTTCAACTAAATGCTTTTTTTCTGTGTTTCCAAGCAAAATTATTGGTCATTTTGAAATTTATTTTACATATTGACAATACATAATGCAGTGCAGTGTTGATTTAAAGAAAAAATCTTGAATTACACCAAGAGAACTAAAATTTTATGGGTGAAATGGCGCCATGGGGTGACTTCTCTTCCACCCCAATGCCTTCTCTTCTCCCCCATTCTAATTCCCATCATCATCATCCAGGAGCCTTCTACATACACACCTCAAAGTAAGTGTGCTTTTCTACCTTTTTTGTTGAATTTAGGCAATTTTCGGTGAGCTGGAACCAATTACCTAAAAACCCATTGAAACAATGTCTTCGGTTAACGAGTTTTTCGGTTAACGAGCAACCTGCTGGAACGGATTGTGCTCGTTAACCGAGGGACCACTGTACTGTAATGTGATACAGGTGATTAATTTTATCTCTTGCGCAAAATGTATGACGTTTATATTCAAATTATTCCCTGTCTTGCAAGGATTTCAGCAATGCAAATTATATTATCCTAACTTTAGTCTGAGATACTATATAAAATAAACACCTTAAAGCCTAAAGAAAACATGAATCTTTTGTCTGGGAAGGCAAGGAGGGAGGGAGCCAGCGAGTGTGGGAAGAGGGGGGGGAGCAGGGAGCAAGGGGGAGCAAGGGGGGGGAGCAGGAGGTGAGGTGACAGATAGTGTCTGGTGAAGTATAATTTGTTTATTTGAGATTTTTGTTTTTAGCTCATAAAATTCATAGAAATTACCCGGCCAGAATATAATGTACATTGCTGGAATTCTTATAAGATAGTGATTAATTTGAATATAAACAAGCTAAAATTTGCAAGGAATCCAGCAATGCCAATTATATTCTCCTAACTTTAGACTGAGGTATTATTTATTTTTACACCTGTAAACCTAGTACTTTTCCCCATACATTTCTCAGGAAGGTGGGGGGGTAGGGGAGGGAGGGAGGGAGGGAGGGAGGGGTGACAGTGACATGTTTGACAGTTGGAGTCTGTGGTGTGAAGTATTTACTTAATTGTTAATTTATGTCCTTTAGATTGAGTTTTCGTTTTTTGCTTATAAAAATTAATAGAAGTGACTGGGGTGAATTTAATTTGCATTGCTGGAATTCCTATAAGATAGTGATTAATTTGAATGTAAACATAGAAGATATCACTGAATTGGCTGAGTACTTCCTCAGCTTATCAGCTGATATTCAAAACAAAATGTGATTTTCGTAAGGATTTCGTTAATCGAATTATTTTCGTTAACCAAATTGAAGATTCTTATAGGAGGTAATTCGTTAACCGAGGAGTTCGTTAACCGAGGGACCACTGTACTGGACTTTGTAACTTAAGTAAAAGTATTGTTACAGTGACAAAATGTTACTTAGTTGAAGTAAAAGTATCTCATCCATAAAGTACTCAAGTACTGAAAGTAAAAAGTAACAACAGAATTATTATTTGTCTCAAATATTAAAATAAAACCACATTAAATCATAAAAAAACAGTTAACTAAGATAAAATTAAGACACACAGCATTACACATGTTTATTTGTAAATCTTTTTATTAAGATTAATCAATAAGTGATTATCAAAATTATGGCTGTCCAATCAGAATCTCTTAGGCCTAAATTTAAACCCGGCACGACCCACCAAAATAGAATACTGTACGTTCGGCCGCTCTTCTCCCTACATTCCATCGCAGGAATGGTGAACGGGCTGAAAATATATCCATCTAACACTACGATCACTTTCTTCCTCATCCACACGAGTATCGTCGACGTGGTCTTATGGTCCGCAGACATAATGTTGTCTCTGCTCGCAATAGGTTAGGATACAGACCTATCCGGCAGGTATCCGAGGTAGAGGATGACCCGCACTTCTCTTCCTGTAAACTCTGTAACTGTCCCAATACTAACACCCTTCAACATTACTGTATTGCCTTGACTGTCCCACTGTCAGAGACCTCCTACCAGAGAAGAGTCACTAACCACTATATGTCACCGCCTACTTATTCCTAATAATTTAGATTTAATTCTTGTAAGTTACCAACGCTTTGGTGGGTGCCGACTCCTTAAATCACGTCAATAATGTCTCCGTATCACGAGTCGTGGCGAGACACGAGTACCAATGTATGAGTGTCTAACTGAATGGTCTTGTAACTAGCCCCTGGGGTGTAATAAATTAATTCAATAATAAATAATAAGCCCAGCATGACTTAACAGATGCTCACAAGTAGCAGATGTGGGGCGTTAAGCTTCGGAGATAAATCACACAGTGTCGGGAAAGACCTCAGTAGCTCCGCTCCATTCCATCCCCAAGGGCCCTAAGCATTCCAAGTAGCTTTCAAGCTCCTTCAGTTGAGGAGTTTGTGGATTATTGTTGCCTCCATAGTGACTGAGTCTGACTAAAAGACTCAATGTGAATTGTTCCTCTAATTGAGGGTGTGGCTGTGGTGACATCACCTTTAGATTCTAATTAATGAGTGGCTGGGGAGGGGTCAATGGTACTTAGTTATTTAAGCAGAATTTTAAATGCAATGTACATTAAGTCTCAAACATATGTATAGATACTTTTTTATGGGGAATAGCCCACCCGGGCATAGGTCATTGACCAATAATGGGGCCTGGGGGGTCGAAAAAATATGAGTAAAAAGAAATTAAAATAGAAAAGAAAAATATTATATTAATCTACACCGCAAAGATGCAGGAAAACCAGCTTTTTGAAGTGAGACAGATTGTATGCGTGTGGAAACACAGAAGAAGGCAGAGCATTCCACAGTTTTGGTGTGTGAGGAAAGAAGGATGTTCTATAATGGGTTATTCTAGTGTGACCGACATCCACAGAGAAATGGTGGGCACTGCGGGCAAGACGAGTGTTATGAGCCCACGTCCTTGCCGGCGGTACACAGGATACCAAATCCACTGGACATTACCCATTAAAGTACCTGTAAAAGAGAGAGAGTGAAGCAACATTGCAGCAAGGAGAAAGGAAAGATTATCAACTAATGAAGGAGAGTTAATAAGACAAAATGCCTTTGATTCCACCGTATCTATCAGTTGGACAGAAGAGCCACCCCAGATATGAGAGCAGTACTCCAAGTTAGAATGAATATCACTTATAAACTTGAAGTAACTGCTCAGGAGTAAAGTAGCCGGCATCTGTACAGCATTCCCAGCTTTTGGGAGGAAGCTTTAGCAATGTTGATGCGTGGCTTCCATGACATATTAGAGGAAATGGTGAGACCTAGCATATCTATTTTAGAATTTGGCAGAATGACAGCATCCTGAAATGTGATTGGTGGGAGATCATTTAATTTGGAAAATGTAATTGGCAGATACTGTGTTTTATTACTCATGAATTTAACCAATTTCTACCTCCCCATTTGGAGATGCTGCACAGATCCGCATTGATAGATGTAATGATATGAGCTCTAGAAACAGATCTAGTTTGTGAATTAGGAGAAGGGAAAAATGTGAAGAAGAGTGAAGAGTAAAATCATCAGCGTAAGAATGGATATAATTGGTTGTAATATGAAGTAAATCATTGATAAAAAGAAGGAAGAGAGTAGGTGAAAGAACAGAACCCTGTGGGGCACCACTATTGGTAGAGAAAGAGTGAGAGATCAATCCCTCGGTTCTTAAGGAAGCTAGAAATTAGAGAACAAAGTGGGGGAGAGAAACCATAAGAGGGAAGTTTAGAAAGTAAACTTAGCTCCCAGGGATAAATTGTCAGTAATAACTAGTGCTAGTTGTGAGCAGGTCTGTGCCCTTCTGGGGGCCGAGTTAGTGAAGGTCAAGGATGAAAACTTGAAATTAGAGGAAGTGAATGTGAGGATGAGGGAGGAAGACATGAGACAAGGAAAGCCTGTGTCTGACAAAAGGCACGGGCGAATGGAGGGTTGTGAGGAGAGGAACGACCAAACTGGTGGTGAGAAAACTTTTAGTCCTTTGATAAGACGAATTGGATGCTAACATAGTCAGGGACAGGACTGACAAGTAAGGTACAAAAACCTTAATTGTTGGTCATTCCCAGGTACAGTACATGGATAGAGCTTTTTGTGGTAAAAATAAAAATAGGATGCAAGTGTGTTTGCCAGGAGCTGGGGTGGGGGATATAGTTGACAGGATGGACAATATCTTGTCTGGTA